TGCTACGCTTTCACGCCTAAACCACTGAACTGATTTTAATGAAATTCGGTACAGAGATAGAGTTGACCTTGAGAAAGAACATAGGATAGTTTTTATCTCAGACTTTTGAAAGGTTCTCTTGGAAACGCGATATAACCGAACTCCACGCGGCGAAGCTGCGGGCGGAAAGCTAGTATTTTATAACTCAATACTCAATACGTACAGAAATTGTTATGAAACTTTTGCTAAGAGATCATTAAATCTTATAAGTAGCTTAATCATGAAATCATTTCAGTTAGTTTTTAATTTTCATAACCAAAACATTTCCATGGTATAATATAAAAAAGGTATCCAGTACATTAAAATGTCAGATAAGAAATATTCAATTTGAAACCAAATATCTATGAATAAAAATAAACCAAATAAAATTAATATCGTTTTTTTTAACTGTCTAATTGTAAACTGTACATTGAATATGAGAAAAACAAATACTTTATTTCTAGTCTTCTGGTGTATATTATTCAAGCACTATTTGTGAAACTTCAGACTTCATGATATTGAAACACAAAGCATATAATAAAAAAACATTGTGTTATTAGAGACTTATAAAAAACAAGTTTTTAAGTATTAGCAAAGCATAAAAGGTAAGTTAAACAAAATATAGGAAATATTCTCAAATTACAACATTTGACTGCTAACTAAACAGAATATATTGAAAGAAGTTGTTCACTTAATACATACATATACTTTATTGTAATTAAAATGGCCAAAAAATTTCATAAAGCATTTAAATGTATTTGTTTAAAAGTTTCACTTTAGAAGGGATGAGATTATTAATTTTATATGAATTTTTTTACCAAACATATTTCTCATGTACACATGGATTAGCCAAAATAAAAAGAATCTGAAATTTATAAAGTAAATCAAATGAATATTTAAATAGAAAAATAAAATAAAAAATTCATCGACAGAATCGGGATTTTTCATTCTCACACTCTATTTAAATTGTAATTCTGATATAAGCTCGGCACTGTTTTGAAGTTAACAGTAAAATTATACAAAATGGTTGTCCCATACAAATGTCTATTGTCAGTGGTGGCCTAGTGGTTAAAAGGCCCGTCTCTCATGCATGAGGGCGCGGGTTCGATCCTGGCCCTTGCAAGTACTAATGTTATTTTTCCAAGTCATATGTACTTTCTAAGAGTATTAAGACATCGCTGATTAATGCATTCCCAAAGAGGGTTGATGTCAGGCAGGCGGCTGGCCGTAAAATATATTAGCCAAAACTATCCATCACATGTAAGGCAGACCCTGGCTAAAGCTGGAAAATTGCCAGGTAGAAGAAGAAGAAGACAAATGTATGTTTACAAATTAGAGCCTTGTTAGCTTTAATAACAAGAAAGACAAACTTTTGCCTGCTCATTTTGATAATCCAGATGAAATTAATAGTCACTTTCTCCAATTACCAGGCAGGCCTCAAGCCTCTGCCACTGATATAGCATACTATAACAGTCAACTATATGGTGATGCTACATTCTCTATAAAAACCGTCGATTATATAGTTGTTAATAAAGTAATACGTAGTATTAAATCAAATGCTGTTGGGGCCGATGGAATATCTTTAAAAATGTTGCTGCTCATCATGCCCTATGTACAAGAAATTATTACTAGCATAATTAATATGTCTATTACCCACAGCACATTTCCTATAATATGGCAGAAAGCGATAATTAAGCCTATCCCTAAAAATAGTAATCCTTCAGAAATTAAGGATCTCCGACCAATAAGCATCCTGCCATGTTTATCCAAAGTATTAGAAAAAATAGTATATAATCAGCTGTCTGATTTCCTCGAGACCAATGATATACTACCCATTAGACAATCAGGATTCCGTAAACATCGCGGTACTGCAACTGCACTGATTGATGTGGTCGACGAAATATTAAACGCGCAAGATAAAGGCAATGGCACGATACTAGTCTTGTTAGATTACTCCAGGGCATTTGATACCATTAATGCCTCTCTGTTACTAGCAAAACTACACTACTACGGCCTTAGCGCGGAAGCTATACAATGGTTCGCCAGTTATCTAGGTAGCAGAACACAAACCGTAGAACTTAAACATGGAGATGGCACTATGAAAGCTTCGCAATGTAGGCAAGTCTCTAGAGGTGTACCTCAAGCATCGATACTTGGTCCTCTTTTGTTTATTTTATATTGCGCTGACGTAACGAAAGTCATAAAAAAACTGCCGTTACCACATGTACGCTGACGATATACAAATATATATATCTTTTCCCCCTAACGAAACTCATAATGCTGTACATAAGCTAAATGAAGATTTAAAAAACATAGCAAGTTGGTCAGAAGTAAATTGTTTAGCTCTAAACCCGCAAAAGTCAAAATTTTTAATACTGGGCTCGGCGAATCAAGTACAACTCATATCCAGGCAAATGCCTATGGTTAAAATTCAAGATGAACCAATTGAAAGAGTTTCTGAAGCGCGTAATCTCGGCGTTCTTATGGATGAATGCCTTAGATTTGAAAAACACATTCACAATACAGTTAGGAGTTGCTTCTATCGTCTAAAAGTTTTATACCAAATAAGAAAGTTTTTAAAAGTAAATGTAAGAATCAGGTTATGTGACGCATTAGTATTGTCCAAATTAAATTACGCCGATGTAGTGGTAGGCCCGAGACTATTGCAACGTACGAAAAACTTAATACAAAAGGTGCAAAATGCCTGTGCAAGATATTGCTTCGACATACCTCCACGTACGCATGTCACACAATATTTAAATAACGCAAGAATTATGAGAATGGAGTACCGTAGGCAACTGCATTTTATAATGCTTTTATTCGGGGTAATCAAGTATAAACTTCCGCCATATCTTTACCACAAACTTCGTTGGGCGCACGAAACTAACACATACGCAACTAGATCGAAATCATATTTGCTACTTATGCCTCTTCATAGAACGGCCGCCTTTCGAGGCAGTTTTCGATATGCCGCCACCAAGTGCTGGAACAACCTTCCACCGCCACTGAGGAACCTAAATATAATTCATAACTTCAGAAACAAATACAGAAAAATTCTTCTTGATAAACAAATGCAAAATAGTAATTGATTTATTCACCTAAGTATGTTTATTTTAAATACAATATATTTATATTTTAATGTATATACCTAAATGTATAATTAATATATATATATGCCTGGGTGTGTGTTTGTATGTGTATGAGTGTTTGTATGAGAGTGGTTGTCTATGTATATACAGATATATATGACATAATTATGATAATTCTATATAATTTTATAACTTTATATATGTATGTATATGTGTATTTAGAATGTATAGTCACATCCACTATTATTATATTGTATTATCGTGCTATAATAACATTATGTGTGTATTATATGTATTATGTGTACATATATATTATATATTATATGTACAACTTACCTTTACTGGTATGGCTCCGTTGCCTACCTCAGTCATGTGTTCCATCAACTTTTTGTTTATATAATTTAACTGTCACATTAACAGTATGTATTTATAAACTTATTCACCGCTACATCCATCAGGCTCAAAGGGTACCATCGAAAATCAGCATAAGGTGTGTTAACACCTTTTAAGCTGAATGGTATACCTTTTTGGGACACGCCTTATGTATTTTGATGTTTATTTCTTTTTTTTTTTTGTTTTGACTTCTCTTTTTTTTATCCTAAGTTTTAATTATTTTTATTTTTTATTTTTTTGTATTTTGGTGTAGGTGCATTTTTGTAAATTAGTCATAAGTTTTATTTTTTTTTTCTTTATTCTTATGTTTATTTTTTGTTTTTTAATTTGTAATTTTTCTATTTTGTTTTTTTTTTTATTTTTATACCTCACTATATACGTGTCTCAAATAAAAACTTTCTTTCTTTCTTTCTTTCTTTCTTTCTTTCTTTCTTTCAAATTATATTATTATCGATAGTTTTTTACTATAGAATTACAGATGAAGATAGTTGAATTCATTGTAATGACTGAGTAGCCAGCATACAAGTTACTCCTGCTGATTTAAGAGAGGCTCTTAATAGTAATGTATATTTATTTTTGAATATACTCTATGGTATAAATTTTGTATAATATAAAATAAAATTTAAAGTAAAAAAGAAACTAATATTTTTTTCCTTTAGGTTTTCTTTAAAAGCCACTTAAAAAATTTAATCAAATCACATTAAATTTGAATGAATCTGATTGATATCTTATCCAAACTTCTATAAAGAGAACGTCATAAAAATATTATTTTTCTATTTTATAGATTTTTACTATTTTGCCAGTAATTATAATAATGGTTTTTAATTATTACAAAAACTGCTATATTATTTCAGCAGAATATTTGATATTCTCTCAATAGCAATTAGTAGCACAAAGATATTACATTCCCAATAAGTTCTCGAACGTAATGCCATTATTGAGTGTTCATTCAATAATTTCCTTGATAATTATTTCAAGTAAATTAAGACAGAAGACTTTATTTACGTTAACAAATATAAATTTTAATTGAATGTATATTTTTCAACAAGAAAGACATATACGTATTGAAGAAATAAAAGTTAGCTCAATTCAATACAAGACGGAATTTTTATACTTTATTTAGATTGCAACTTTTTGTTATGTGTTCCTTTAAGTATTTTTACTTATATACCCATAAATCTATGTTTCGTGTATATATAAATATAAATATATATATATATATGTATATAAATATGTATATGTATATATATATATATATATATAAAAATACAAATGTATTTTTTATTTTGTTAGTAAGTAACCAATGAATATCTATGAAACGAATTTAAGTTAAATTTTTTAATGGATACTCCAATTACTCATATATATGTTCTACTCTAAATACAGTGTTAGTCTGTCAAGTAAGAGCGTGGTCGTGTTAATTTATAAAAAAAAGAAAAATAATGAAACTTTTATAATTATATATTCATTATACACATTACAAACACTGATGTAATTTTCTTAATAATGTGTCCAGTCACCACCGGCGTCTATAATTGCCTGGCATCTCCGAGGCATACTTTCTACCAATTTGACGGCGTATTCTACTGACAACGATCTCCAAATCCGACGAATTTCGCAAGATAGCTGCTTCAAAGTTTGTGTACGTCTTTCACGATGTTTATGTTTTATATATACCCACACATTTTCAATTGGGTTTGCATAGGGCGATTGCGATGGCCAATCCAATGTAACGATGCCAGATTGAGCTTTCCACTCCGTACAGAGCTTGCTGAGGTGTTTAGGATCGTTGTCCTCATGCAGAATCCAATCTTCATTTCTTTTGATGAACCAACGTTTGGCAGATGGAAGTAAAGCCTTTTTGTAGATTTTTAACATTTTCTCGGCGTTACGGTTATCGGTAAAAAGGTGCAAAGTGCCGAATCCCTGCTTTGAGAAGCAGCCCCAAAGATGCACCTTTATTCCGTGTTTTACGGTCCGCTGAACAAGCCTATTGGTCGAAAATGACCAGGCTCGTATGAGGATACAACGTACTCATATAGAACATTCATCAGTAAAAATTACATTACTAAAATCTGTATCGATATTTTCATGCGCCCAAGCGAGTCCTTTTGTGACATGTTTTTCAGTCAACAGAGGTTTCTGAATTATGCTGCGCCATTTCAGGTCATGTGTACGGAGATGAGTTCGTATAGTTTCATAGGTAATATAACCTTTTGCCTTTAATTTTGCTTGTCCTTGCCGCAGCGTTAAAGCAGGATTCCGTGAAAACAAATTAATTATTCTTTCTTCATCTTTTTTGTCCACTTTTTCTATCGAGCCACGTTCTGGTAAATCATCAACATTTTTAGCTACTTTATATCGCTGTACCCACTTCTGAACAAATGCCTTCGACTTTCTCATATATTAAGCAGCCGCTTATTGCGACATTTTTGGACCTTTCGGGTGGGTGCAAAGGAACACAGCCTGATAGCGCGACGCGTATTTAGCGCTCATGGCGCGAAACGTGATTCTCTGTCAAAAGATCAACGAAAAATGAATCTGTGTTTACAATGCATCAAGGACAAAGCTTCCCTCTATTGGCTCGCGAAGGAATTAAAATGAAATCTAATCTAAACCTATCCATAAAGTCGACCACGCTCTTACTTGACTGACATATAGTACAATATAGTATCAGTATAACATAATGAGAGAATAAGTTATATGTTTTCAAAGTGTGTATTTAAGGGTGCTTTCTCTTGAGGTCTTATATTTAAAATACGTTTGTCTGTTTATGTGTGATCAGATTTTATAAGAATGTTTTTTTAAGTTGTGTTCATTTTGAGCACTGCAATATTTGTAATAGTTTTCTATATTTCTTAAATATATATATGTACAGCGAATGTGTTTAAATCAGAATAATTTATTTATTTATTTATTTATTTAACATTTTTTTAAACATATTACAAACATAAAGGACAAAAGAATATAACACAGGAAAAATAAGTTTAAAAGGTATATCAAGTCATAAATTAAATTTTTCTACAATCACTGCTGGTATCTTGTGATCCTACATTTAGCTTGAACGAAGGGTTTAGATGACTTATAATGGTAAAGGTACAAAATAAGTATATATTTCAATACAGTGTTTGAGACAATAACCTCAAATTTTTCTTTACACTCTGATAGTCGTACGATTTAATTTCTTTATCTTAAATTATTTTATTTTTCTTAAAAGTTATTATCTCAGTTTAAATATTCAAGCCAAAAAACAAATGATGTGCGTCCGGTGATATGAATATGTTACTTTCTTTTAGACGTTTTGCTTTTAAATCTTTTCATATTCACCAATCTCATAAATGGTATATATAGCACCAATACATCGATTAATTAAGTTGAAAATATAACCATTCCAAATAACACGAAAACTCGGAAAAAGTGTTTCTGAATTCGTTTTCAGAAACCCGAAGAATATTCCAGAGAATAATATAATTGTTATTACTGGAAAAGGCTTGGCTAAATGTAGATAGTATGAGCTGAACTTAAACCACAATGTACTTTTAGTTAAAAGCTATGCTATCGAGGTTTATAATAAAGAAAGTCGCCGAAAAACTTAATGATTTACAAAACAGTCTGTTTTAAATGGCACTGGACAGAGACGAAACCTCTTAGCATTCGATGGATTCACCGTGCGGGTGCCGGGTCCATCGCGTTGCAGGGAGAGGAGCTTCAACAGTGCCTGGGACTTGCGACCCAGGTGTAGGTTTAAGGGGCCCCTTAACTAACGCGCGTTATACGCTCACCTCCACTGTCCAAGTTCCTCTCCCTACCTAACCAAATTTGAAAAGAACCTACTAGGGCTGCCTTCGACGTACGTTCTAAGAATGAATTAATGTTAGTTCTGGACAGGCCCAAGTCTTTTAGTAGGTTATAGAGAGATTTAGCTGTTATACCTCTCGCTCCCACCTCTACCGCGTACAAATCAACGACGAACCTATTTCGAGTTAGTTCGTTAGTGAGCTCGTAATACTTATTGACCTTGATGGCATGGTCTTTGGGGATGTTGGTTTCCCAAGGCACCGTAAGCTCTATCATCACGAATCGCTCTATCATCACGAATATAGAAATATGTCTGGTCTGGAGGCCGACGCACAAATATCCTCGGGGATTTTGTATTGTTTCTCATACGTATCCATCATGATAGTCCAATCCGCAGCCGCTTTAAGGATAGAGTAAGGCTTGACGTTTGATTTTATAGCCCTGGTGCCCTCTCTCACAAAACCTATTGATCGCTCGTTTGTGGTTATTTCCCTTTGCGCTCTGGCTACCGAAAGACTAACCGCTTCACGTATGATCTCTAAAACCCTATCGTGACGACGCGAGTATTGACCGCTGTCCAGGAGAACCCTACATCCCACCAGCAAATGCTTGGCAGTTCCAACTGCCTTTCCGCAGATATAGCAAGTTTTTTCGGTACCTTTACCCCATCTTACTAAATTACTCTGATCTGGGAGAGTCATCTGGAACGCATTGAGATAAAATTTTAGCAAGGCTGGCGACCAGTCATGAATTAGGGTGCGCCATTTTAGTGCTAGTGGAATGCAAAAATCTCCTATGTCTAACCAATCGTTCTGCATTTCTAAACTCATTGCATGGATCTTGTATTTATCGTTCTCGTCTTGCCGAATAAAAGACTTCAATATATCCGTATCTTGGACTTTCCTACTTGATCCTAACCCTACTCTGTTATTTTGCGCTCCGATCATAAATTGTTTATGGAATTGAAGTCGTGACTCTAGCTCTGGGGCATCATTGTCTTTTGGGAGTGATGTAACGACGTCATCATGGGATTTTCCCAGGATATGTCTCTTGGAAACTCTTAGGTGTTTGTAGAGCTCCGATGGTCTTTTTAGATTCATCCCAAAACTATTATGATCCCTGAATAAAGCCGATGAGTCAGCCGATAGCGCGAGCCCGAGCCACAACTTCAACATCTTTATGACGCCTGCATCTAATTTAGATAAAAGGGTTTTACTAAAATCATAGACGAGGAAAGGCCAATTCAAACGTGAAGTTAAGTAATTATCGTAGATCCATGCTTTTTTTACGTTACTGATCTGCTGGCTATCTACCTTGTTGAGATCATTTAAAAAGCTATCTACTATTCCTTCTAAAGATGGAGTACGACCTATATTATCAATCTTACGACCGAGAAACTTGAATGGTGCATTTTCCGTAACCGTAGAAACGCATTGACCGCCTATCGATAGTCCCGGATCGTATGAGGTGTATCTTGTATTCCGCCTACCAAGACACAGACAGTGACATTTACTTGGTTTTGTCCTCAATCCATCCGTCCACTCACAGAATTTATCCACTTCATCCAATAGTACTTGACAGTGTTTGGGGTGACGTGTCAGTATTGCGAGATCGTCAGCGAAGGCTAAAATGGATTCCGTGTATTTGTTATTGAACTTAAACCGATACCCCCATTTTTTCTCATTGCTGATAAGTTTATCTACTAGGATATTGATTACAATATTAAATACTATTGGAGATAAACAGCACCCTTGGAATAGTCCTACATTGTAACTCAAACTTTACTATTATTTTCGTAACATTTTTTTTGTATTTCTTTATTATTATTTTACTCCCTAGTTATCACTACCAAGTTAATGTTTAAAAACACATTGTATGTGTAAATTAAACATTTCAGATTATAAAGTGACTCATGTCAATTTTATATAAAGAAAGTGACTTCAAAGAGATTCGTCTACACTTATAATAAATCTTTTGATATCAGAAAAATATAAATCAGATAAATCCAATTGGATACACAACCCACATACTTGACACCTCGATAAGTCACTCGAACTCCGAAAGGATATTTTTGTTTACATATCTTCTTATACAAGTTTTATATGGTTAGTGACATTTGATCTCACTTATACATGAAGATATACATATATTGAGATAAATATAAAAGATTTTGCGACGTGTTCTAAATATCTTAAAGTATTAAATAAACCATTAAAGTTTTTTTCTTTTTATTAACCCTTGGTCTTTAATGTTCTTAAATAAATATTTTTAGATATTTCATGAGATTTATTTTACATTTTAGTCGACGTTTCGGTTACTTTACAACAAGCGTGGTCACGAACAGACGAAGTAAAAGTGTCTTTAAAGAATAAAATATCGTACTTATATAAAAAAATATTATATTTTATTATCATCCAGTTATTATAGTGATAAAACTTTAGTTGGCAAACTAATAAGTAAATAAATTTTGACAATTACAGTTAATATGAAAGCTTATTTTACTTAACTTTCGAAGAAGATTTTATGTTTAAGATCAAAGCAAAACAAACGTTTTTACGAAATTAATAGTGAATAATTATATTTAAACTTATTGTAACCCACTCGAGGTAATTTTTGTTTACATATAAACTGAATGAAATACGAAAGAAGAAAAAATATAAGTTATCTTTTTAGCGATGAAAAATATCTATGAGAAATAATATTCATTTAATATTTTTATTTTAAATACTACTTACTAAAGTATTGAGTTTCAAATTTAATAAACTATATGGGTTTATTCAAAATTCAACTATATATTTGAATTCAATTCAAGACAAGAGACACTTCACAGAAAGCGAAGATCATTTTGTATACATATTCTTCGCAGACCGGTCCCATGTCAATATGATACAGTCTGAGTCTTGACATCCTCTATAATAATAGTGACACACAAGTCATACTTTATTTAAATAATATATTGTTTATTTCTAGACAATAATATATGATTACATTTTTAAATAATCATTGACATGAGTGTTGTATGATTCGAACAAAGCGCAAGTTTATAACAGCATAGAAGAAATTACACTTAGCTTGAAACGTCAATTAATTATGTTTCGGAAGAAGTTTATTATTATTATTAACAGTTTTAAATAGGAAAGTTATAAAATGAAATCTCTTAATACTTTAATTCAGTTTCAATTGTACTGAACTTTAACATTTATTGGATACGCATTCCAAAACGACCCAACAATGTGAAAAAAATAATTAAAACTATTTCATAGACTTTGAGGTTGAAAACTGTATATACAGCTAAATTAAGATCCTTTGTTTCTGCAACATGTTAAAAAATATATATTAAACGGTGTTAAATGTTTTTCAGATAACAAATAAATGAACGCGGTTGAATTTACCTGGATGAAAAATGTAGGTAAGTAAGCGTCCTTGTAGTGAGTTGAATTGTTTTGTGGTTTGATGGCTAGCAGATTCAGGAAGAGTTGCCTCTTATGTTCTTACAAAATTTATTTTGTTTATTTCCATCGAAACTCTGGGATTCATTAATCACTTTGCAGTAATACACATTTTAAATGATACACACTACTATTATAAAATCGGGGCAATATATT